TCCTAGTGCAGCCCTTCCTGAAGCCTAACGCTCAGAAGTCAGGGAGACTGGTATGAGCCCCAGTCCCGCCCAACCCTGCCGTGCAGCCCAGCTGCCCGGCCTCGGGGACGGGAAGGCCCCCACCCACCTGTTGAGGCTCAGCAGAGAGGACCAATGGGGCAGAGATGGGGCGACCCGCCTCCATGGGGGGGTCTGACCTTTCAGCTCTAGGCCAACCGAGGTCCGTAAGCAAACCTCCTTGGCAGGCGCTGGGATCAGATCAGGAAACGAGAGGCCCAGCCCTGAGGGTCAAGCTCCGGAGACCCCACCGCAAGACAGGGAGGTCCCCGCTCGGCCGCAGAGGGACTGCCAGCCAGCGCGATACTGTGAATAAAGACAAGGGCACAGACGGCACTCCCCAGTTTGACATGCGTCGCCCCCACTGACCCTCCCACAGTCTGGGAGTCGGGGGACGCTCTCCTTCCACAGCAGGGAAACCCGAGGCTCTCGGGAGGCACGGGGACTGAAATCCCACCGCGCTCTCCAGCTCGGTGCTGGCGGGACGCGCCTCCCAGCGCTGCTGGGGCAGCCTGTCAACCTGGGTAAAGCCCTCCGTAGGGAGAGCAGTGATCACGGGAGGGCACAGCGCCTCGCAGGTGTCACAGCCTTTCCCCCAACAGCGCTGCAGGCGGGGAGCCGAGGCTGTGCTCGCTCTGGAGCACCCCCAAGCCCACTCACGAGGCCTCGGGAGGGCGGCAGCTGTGAGCTGTGCCCCTAAGTCCCTGTCTGTCCACGCGTCACAGCAGAGGGCCACAAGCAGTGGCAACGGGCCCCGGAGCAAGGAGCCTCACGTCCAGGCAGGATGTGAGGATGCCCTAAGTCGGGGCGCCCGGTCACCCCCATTCCACCTGCTTGAGGGAACTGTGTTCAGTTAGCCAATCAAAGCCACCCAGCAAACATCTCAGGTCCGCAGGGCTCTGTGCTGGGCCGTGGGGTGGCAGGGCCTGCCCCGGAGGGGGGATGTGGTGGGGAAAACGAGGGGGAGGCACCTTGGTAGTGACCGGCCAGGCGCCCCACGCCTGGGCCAAGGGCAGAGACCGCAGCCACCCGGGAGCAGGGGGCTGGGGCGCATTGGCACAAACTCCCCAGCCAGCGAGCCTGCGGCCCGGTTCTGAGAGCACCTGGAGTTCCGCCAAAAAATAACCCCGCACGCGGGTGCCCCCAAAACCCGTGGAGATGCCCCAATCCCGTCCACGGACACTGGGCTGACAGGCCCCGCGGCTCACTGTCCTGATGGGAGAGGAGCACCCTATGGGGACCAGAGATGGCCGTTCCCCCTGAGTGCAGCCCAGCTCCACACACCTGGCCCAGACCAGCAGACCTGCCCACCCAGGGCTGGACTTTGCCCCCAAGGCCCTCCGAGGCAGAGGAGGGACAAACGGGCTCCCGTCCCTCCTGCCAGGGGTCCCCACTCGGCTCTGTCTGCAGCTGCTCCAAACTCCCAGTCCAGGAGTAGCAGTGACTGTGACCTGTTCTCGGGCCGCAGGGAGAAGGGCTCCACCACAAAAATCAGAAAGTGAAACCTTTTGTGGTTAAACATCCGAGGCTCTCAGGCAGCGACCAGCGTAGCTCAGCCGAGGCCGGGAATCATCTGTGCACACGGAGTCCGGAGCCCAGGGACACGCGTGGCGAGGCCGTGCTCGGGCCCAAGGGGAGGGAGGTTCCCATTGGCCTGGCACGCAGGACACCGAGGGAGAGGGGCTCTGACAGCAAGTCTGGGCTCCTGCACCTCCAGGGATGGCACCCACCCTTTCAGCGACACAAAATTTCATCTAACTTTTAAGCCCCTGAGACTCATCCTGGGTGGGCCACGAGCGGTGGCCCAGGGCCCCAGGCGCTTCCAGCTATCGGGGTCTGCGGGGGACAGGCAGGGCCACCGCCAGGAGCCACGGCCAGTTCCACTCGCGCCTCCAAGCAGGGCAGGCGCACCCTTCCCGCCGGGGGCCACCACACCCCAGGCCGGATTCCGGCCCTTTCTACCGCCCTCGGGGCCACAGCGGGCTGGACAGGAAGCCTGTGGAACTGACCGCCCTGCTTTATTTAGAAATCCCGGAGCCACTCAGCTCCTGGAACGGCACTTCCTGCGGTAGGCCTCGGTTCTCAAGGGGAAACCTGTCCTAAGGAACGGACATGGGGCCTCCTCGGTGGTTCTCTGCTGAGTGGCAGAAACGCGGGGGCAGGGGACTGCACCTGCACCAGGAGGGATCACGGGAGGCAGAAGCCGGTGGGCCTGCCTGGGACCCCCACCGGAGCTCCTAACTGGGCCTGGGGGTCCTCTTCCGTAAAGTGGGAGAGCGACGCCGAGCCGTGGGGACCCCGGTGTATCCCCTGCAGGGACGCTCCGTACCCCCATTCCCCACCACAGATGACTGTGAATGAGGATGTGGCCTGGAGTAACAGGACCAACAAAACCGAACACACCTATCACACGTGTTCGTAGACGTGTTGCGTGTTGACGGCACACACATATGTGGCTTTGGACCGTAGTAACAAAAGCATTCACCTTTTAAGCACCCACAAAACACCTGACAAAACAACCGAACACTGATCACATACCGGCTCTGCAACACGCATTTTACACTGTGTACTGACACGGGGCAGGGGTGATTCTGATAACACACACGGGGGTGATTCTGCCCCCGGGCAACACTGGGCCACACCTGGGGATGTCTGTGGTTCTCATGACTGGGGGTGCTCCCGGCATGGAGTGGGTGGGGCAGGGATGCTGCTCGGCACCCCCCGGCCCCCAGCACGTCCCCTGTACCTCCGCCTGGCATTCACAGCCGCCCTCCTGGTGTCATAAACCTTCACCTTGGACCCAAAAGCTCTCATCTTCCTATCTGTCCCCATGCCTAGGACTTAATAGCTTCCCAGGAGGGTGCAGACTCCCTGTCCTGCAAGCCAGCGGGGGGAGGGGTGGGACCTCAGACCCAGGCGCTCCTGCAGCCAACAGCCCGCACCCATGGGTGGGTGCTGGACACAGCAAGGCTGCAGGATCACAGGCCACCGACCCGTAACCTTGAACCCCACGTCAATCTGGAGCCTGGGTGAGCACAGGGCAGGCAGCAAGGGCGTGCAGAGGTTCATGCAGCCCCCAGCCCCCAGGCAAGGCCAACTGTCTGGTAACATTAACATGCTGGTAACTTCTCAACCCCCCTCTGAAAATAAAGTCTACCTCTGTTGGTGAAAGGCAGCCAGGGCCATGCTGTCCTTCCAGGTGCCACTGGGACCCCACTGCAAGTTTCCTCTAAACTTTACCGTTACTCTCTGCCTGTCTTTTCTGCAAAGATGGCCCGTTTTATAGCCTTTAGGTAAAGTGAAACGTTTGGAAAAAAACACAGGGAAGGTATTTTAATCAAAGGGAGGACCCAGAGGGTCCCCACAGGTGGGAGAAGCGAGGCAGTCCCTCCAAGACCCACGGCCTCCAGCGACTCACCGCCTCCGACCCTGCACCGTCCTGCGGGTGGACCCCTCGGTGGCAGACCCCTCCTCCACCAGGGGCCCATCACAGCAGCGTTTCCAACCTTCCCCGCAGTGCAGGA